CGGTCGCAGAGTCCCCGAAGCCGCGAGCAGGGAGCGCCGAGCCGGGAGCCGAGCCCGCCGGGCTGGGGCCGGGGCTGGAGCGCAGCGGAGAGGGAGCGCGCCCGCCCCAGCCCCGAGTCCTGCCGACTTCCCTCCAGCCGCAACGCCAGCCCAGAAGCCGCCGCCCCAGCCATGGAGCAAGACCACAGCACCCGGAAGATCCAGTTCACAGTCCCGCTCCTGGAGCCGCACCTTGACCCCGAGGCGGCGGAGCAGGTGAGGAGCAGGGCTGAGCGGCAGAGGACTCGCCTAGCTGAGGACGAAGGAGTCCTGAACTGGGGGGACCCAGGATCCCTGCCCAATCCTTCCTTAGCAGTGCGTCCCTTTGAAGGAGAATGGACTCAGTTCGGGGGTCCTCTGTCCCCTCCCCCACCATCGGAGCAACATCTCCCCATCTGGGCTTCTTTGAAACCGACAAGAAGGATGAGCGCTTCTACTCGATGCCTGTCCCCGCGATAGTCGTCCTCCTCAGCCAGCCCTGGGGGAGAGGGCCGGCCTGAGGACACGACCCCTCCCCCCTTCACTAATCTTGCATCCTCCACCCAGTCAATCCCCGCCAGAGTTTCTGAGCTCGAGTGGGGGCGCTGAGGGTTACGAGCAGCAGTGCAGAAGAGGGTAAGAAAGGGGGTAGGTAATGGGTGGAGCCTGGTGCTGTAGGAGTTGGAAGAGAAGAAACAGCTCTCCCTGTCCCCTCCCTGAGGCGCACCTTGCGCGGCTCCAGAGTGGTATCAAGAAGGGGCTGAGGAAAACTGAAAAGGCTGGGGCTTTGGGGAGGGGGTGATCGAGTCTGGACACCCAGGTCCTTATTCCCAACTCCTGCCCTTTGAAGTGGAGATTAGGGGTGGGATGGAGAAAGTGGCACCGAGAGGCCAGAGGAAGGGGCTTTCTAGGACCTAGGGTCCAAGGCTAAGCACTGTGCCCTCCTCAGCTCCAAGGGTGGGAGTCCACGCCCTGGCCCAGCCTCCTGGCCTGGCCTATTTTTAGCTCAGAGCAGCCTGGTAGAGGCAGCAGTGTATGAGAGTGTGTGAGCAAGTGTGTGTCTCAATGAGAGTGAGCATGTGTGTGGAGCGGGTGACCACCCGTAGTCATTACTACCGCCTGTTAGCCAAATATTTGCTCATTGCTCCATCTCTTTTTGTATTTGCTATCCATTTGCCAAGACATCCCCATTCCTAAAGCATTTCCCACAAGGTCAGTTCTTTGTCTCTCCCAATTAGCTGTCAGGGCTCTGGCTGGGCCTCCGCACCTGAAAAAGCTTTGTGACCTCCTGGGATGGGCTGGAGAGAGTGTTCTTTTTGTCGTTCCAGCTGTTCAGTAGAATAAGGTCTGGATGTGAAGGGAGAGGGTAGGCATACACACTCTGTAACTTTGGGTTCCCAGAGAGGGGGTAGCGGTTAGGTACCTGTGTCTCCAACCTCTCCCTGGCCTAGGTGAGCCGCATCTCCAGGACTCTAAGGTGTGATGGTGGCAGGGATTGTGGTGGGACCTCACAAACCTCCTGAGGGGGGAGAAGGGAAAGACAATGGCATAGGGAGGGTTTCCTTGGAAAGGCTGTTATACCTGGAGGCAGGAGACTATCTAAAATAACCTCCCGTTACCACCCACCAGTTCCAACTAATGGTGACCCTATGTGTGTAGAATAGAATTGTCTTCCAGAGAGTTCTCAAGTCTGTGACCTTTTGGAAGCAGGTTGCTAGGCTTTTCTTCTGAGGTGCCTCTGGGTGGGTTTGAACTGCCAACCTTTCAGTGAGCACTTAACCATTTGCACCACAAAAGAACTCTAAATAACTGGATAACCTCACGCCCAGGAAAAAGGACCCATGACTGTGGGCTCCGGGGGTTGGGGGTGAGGTTCAGAGAAGAACTGCCTCCCACTGGCACAGGCAGGTCTCATGCCTGACACTTGCATCTATTTGGTGTTTGAGGAGGCAAGTGTAGATGTGTGTTGGGAGAGGGAGGGAGGGGCTGGCCAGCTGGTTCAGGGAGCTGTGGGGCAGGAAGGAGCGTGAGGCCGTGCTAAGGAGCCAGAAGAAAAAATGGAGCTAGGACTTAGGCCTGCTTTTCTCTAACCTTCAGAAATCTGTGTCTCCTAGGCCTGAAATTCTACCTGCAGTCTAACCTTAGTCCCTGCTGATGTATTACCAAGTGTGTAGGCAAAAAGCTCCAGGTTTGGCAGGGGCTCAGGCCAAGACGGGAGGGTGAAAGGGTTTGGAAACTCTGAGTTGTACAGCAGAGTGGCGGGGGGTGGAGAGGTGCCCACAACTTATCGTATCCTTGGCATGACTGGTTTGGAAATAAATCAAAGGTAAAAGTACCAGGTGTCCTTGAAAGCCAGGATTCGGGATAGGTGTAAGGAAAAGAGAAGAGACCATCTCCTAGCATCCTAGTAGTTTAGATGCTGAGAGATGCTTCAAGAAGTCTGACTTTACTCCCTCTTGGTGTAGGACATCACAATTCTCAAGGACTTTTGAGTGCTTAGAAATCTTCTCCAAGGCAAGGAAGTAGGTTAAGGAAGGGGACCTGTCCACAATCACAGAGCCCTACTGCCTTCTCCAACACCCTTCCAGTCACACCTGTGGTCTCCTTCACAGGCTACCAACAAAGATGTTATCTCAACCCACCCAGTCTTCCCAGCCACACTCTCTCCCTGCCTCTTCCACAGTCCTCTTGCTGCCCCCCAGGTAGGGAGGCAATAGAGAGAAGGGGTCCTCTCCTAGTAAGAGTATGACCCCCACCACACATACGTGAAACGCACATGTCCACCTGCCAGCATCCAGCCCATTTGCACCAGAAATAGCCAGAGATGAATTCACAGCCAGTGTTTGTGCTATACATGTGTACACAAACACACACACACACTTGCACAGAGAGAGAGAGAGGACTGGTACTGCCAGGGACCTTGAAATGTCACCAGAAACAGATGCCACAGAATTCTCCTGGGAAAGAAATGTCTGACCCCCACATACCCCCATTCTAGGCATCCTGTTTCTCCTTTGGGGAGAGTTCCCCTCCCAGACTAGCATTAGCTCCCCTTGCTGTAGCTGATACCCTCTTTCTAGACATAGAGAAGGCCACGTGTCTTGCCACCTCCCACCCCCAGTGGTGATGATACTAAATAATGGAGACTCAAAGATGGAGACTTGATCATTCAGTACTCTCACCCTACTCCTCTCAGCCCTGGATAATTTTAGCCCCTTTTCCAGCCCCGTTAACCTTCTCTCCTCTAGTGCTGCCGTGGAGGGAGCTGCAGGGACTCCAGCCTCTTTGATCCCCACATTTCCAAGCCTTTAAAGCCTCCAAAGAAAGGAAAAAACTACACATTCCACGAGTCCTCGGACTGACTTCAACAATAAACTTTATTGGCAGCATGACAAAAGAACAGCAACCAATCTGCTCTTATATGTTAATTTCTTAGAAGGAGACCAGGAGTCCAGGATAAGATTTTTCAGCTAAGCTTTAGACTCTGACCAAGGTCCTGCTGAGGACTCCTCATCCTATTATATTTACCATGACAAGGATTTCCCCAGATGCTATTTCCTGACAAATCAGAAAGGCAGCACGTCCAAGGATAGGAAGGACACCAGGAGGTGAGGGGCGTGGGCCAGGATCAGTGATTCTCTCTGCTGTCCTCCAGGCTGCGTGGGGATTGAGGGGTGCTTTCTGCAGGTGCTGGTCCACAAAAGGTTAATGTCTGTTTGGGGAGTAGGCTGGGCGATAGAGGGAGACCTCTGCCCTCTCAGGTTATTTCTGACCATTGATCCAGGATGGACGGAAGGACAGCAGGCCAGAGATCGATGCATTAGAGCAGATATAGCTGCTGAGATGGGGAGCTGGGGCCAGGACCAGGGGGAGACAGAGGGACAGAACCGGGTAGTGGGAGATTGGTGCAGGGAGTGGGGGTGAACTTCTGAGTCCTCAGGAGGAACTCTCTCCCCGCAGGAGGGATGAACCTAAGGATGTCTACCCTGGACAGTGGATCCAGTGTAGTTTGGGCATTTTTTTGAGGGGTGTTAAGTGGGCTGGCCTGCATTATGCTGCCGAGTGGTATTGGGTGGGGCTCCATGATAGTGATTGAGATGCTTCCATATACATTTGACCTCTTTCTCCTTCCTCCTTCCTCCAGATTCGGAGGCGCCGCCCCACCCCTGCCACCCTCGTGCTGACCAGTGACCAGTCCTCCCCAGGTAACCCAAGGAATAGGTCCCTGAAGGGAGTGGGGGCTCCTACAGACAGCTGGGTCCCAGTGAGAGAAGGTGGGTGCTAGATAGAAGAAGGACAGATCTGAGGAGTCAGAAACCTCCTGAATCCCAGAGGCAGAAGAGACTAATCCCAGCTCGATTAGCAGAAGGATTGCCATTGCTTTTGGAAAGACAGGACAGTGCTAGGAAGGGGAGGGAGACCACTTGGTTCCTAAGCCCCCCAGGAATTGCGGTGGTCAAAGGTGTGCTGGTTGCTGAGGCAACAGCCTTTGAGGTTTCTCCAGCAACTGAGATGCTGCTGCCCCCACCCCCAGAGGCAGTGACAGCTGTGAGGGGGAGGGACCGCCTCCATCAGATATCTTCATGGCCCCCAGAGGGGAAGGGGAAGGTTAGAAGCAGCTCAGGGAGCAGCTGGGATTCTGGTCATTAGTGTCCCCATCACAGTCTGGGAAGAGAACAAGGTATCAGAAAACCTCAGACAAGGTTGAATGGGAGATGGGTGCTCAGGCTAATAAGATAGACTGGAGTCCAGGATGCCTGGATCTCCAGCTTTCCTCCAAGTACCGAAAATGATTGTATCTTCCTGGACCCTGTGCAGGACACATTTGCTATTCTATGCCCAGCATTCCCTCCTCTGCAGGATCCTATTCTGGACCAGGGGTGGGGGGAACTGGTTGGAAGGAGAAAAAGATACGGATACTTCAGAGGGAGGAAAAGAGCAGAAGCACCACAAAACCTGCCTCCAGGGACCTCCAGGTGGAGATGCAGATTGACCACAGCCCCAGAGTCAAGGTCAGGACCAGATGCAGCTGGATAAAGCCACCTGCAGAGCCGGAGGGGAGCTGTAGGGAATAGAGGTCTGGGGCAGCGATCAGGGCCAAATTCCTGGGTTTGGGATGGAAAGCACCAGGTCAGGAAAGGTGATTGCAGAGTCCCCTCCCCTTGGGAAATCAGCTCTGTGGGGAGTCCCCAGGATTTCTTGGCCTCACCACCTTCTTCATTCCTTGCTCTCCTCAGAGATAGATGAAGATCGGATCCCCAACCCACTTCTCAAGGTGAGCCAGCCTCTCCCATTCAGCCCAGCCCAGAGAACCGACAGACTCATTAGGGGATCGTCCTCCTACCTCTCCTCCCTTCCCTGATAAGTTTTGACTCCCTCTTTCCTGCATCCCCCAAATGTGCATGAGTGGATATTCACACATGCCTCCCCACACACCCCCACATCGCATCTCTTTGCTCGCAATTGTTGACTGGGGAAGCAGGAGTTTTCTTCCCTCATTTTCTGAAGCCCACACCTACCCCAATCTCCAATCCAAGTGCATGCAAGGCAGAGGGGGACAGGGAGAAAGGCTGGCACCCACCTGTACTCTTTGTTCTTCATAGTCCACTTTGTCAGCGTCTCCACGGCAACGGAAGAAGGTGACAAGGACCACACCCACAATGAAAGGTTTGGAAGACCCTGTCTCTTTTTCCCCTCTAAGTCTGAAGCTGGGGAATAGACCTAATGACTCCTTAGAAGAAATCCTTGGGAGGTCATTAAATGTGCCACTGTTAAAGTGAAGGTGTTGCTAGACAAACTGGGACTGGAATTCCAATTCTGCCGCCAGCTAGCTGTGTGGCCTTGGAGAAATTGCTTAACCTACTGAGCCCTGAGTACTACTTGACTGTGGCAATTAAATTAAATAACGTGTGATTGCCAAAGATTAGACAGGCCCACAAAACAAAATGAGACTAAAGGAGCACACCAGCCCAGGGGCAAGGGCTCGAAGGCAGTGGGGGACAGGAAAGCTAGTAATGGGGAACCCAGGGTCCAGAAGGGAGAGTGTTGACATGTCGTGGGGTTAACCAATGTCATAAAACAATATGTGTACTAACTGTTTAATGAGAAGCTAGTTTGTTCTGTAAACCTTCATCTAAAGTACAATTTAAAAATAAATGTGTGAACTCAACAAGCACAGCGCCCAACACATAGAAGATACTCAAATCTTTCTTGAACCTAAATTGAGTCTTTTTTCCTGCCCCCAAGGGAGACCTTGTATCCCAGCAAGTTAGGATAATTTTTGTTCTTATAGTCTCTTCCCCTACCCCTCTGTTTCCTCTGAAAGAAATATTTTTATGGTCTAGCTTTACCAATTAATAGTTTCCATCAAATCAGTTCTGACTCTTGGTGACCCCATGTGTGTCAGAGTAGAACTGTGCTCCATAGGATTTTCAATGGCTGATCTTTCAGAAGTAGATCGCCAGGCCTTTCTTCCGAGGTACCTCTGGGTGGATGTGAACCTCCAACCTTTTGGTGAGCAGCCAAGCACATTAGCTGTTTGTACCACCCAGTGTCTCCAGTCTAGGTTTAATCCCTCCTTATTGTCTAGCTAATGCCCTCTCCTTGTTCAGATCTCAGAAGATGGGAAAGGCAATCAAACACCTGGCAATGTGTGATGACCCTTGAGTGGGCTGTTGAATTTGGGGATCCACAGGGCTCATTTTGGCAGGGATGTTCAATGCTTCCTCCCTTTCTCTGTCCCCAGAGCTCCAGATGATGGTTGAACATCACCTGGGGCAACAGCAGCAGGGAGAGGAGCCTGAGGGAGCCGCCGAGACCACGGGGCCTCAGGAGTCCTGCCCACCTGGGATCACAGACACAGAAGCAAAGTCAAGGCTGAGCACCCCTGGGACAGCACAAAGTATGTTCAGGCTGGGGAGGGACCCAGGTATCTTGTTGCCCAGCCCAGGAGGAGGCAGGCCTCACCCATTGTGGGGTTTGGAGCCTGGGAGAGATCTAATAGTACCCAGAAACTATGTTGAGAATATGGGTGTATTTGCATGTATTGCATGTATTTGCCTCTCTTCCCCTGTCCTTACAAAAGGACACAGCCCCTCCCAACTTGAACTTCAGGGCTCCCTATTGTAGCTGTATTGAGGGAGCCCACTGTAATGAAAATAGCACCCATAGGCTAAAATCCTGGCTGTGCCACTTTACCAGCCAAGAGACTTGGAGCAACTTACCTCAGTCTATAAAATAATAATGGTGCCTATTTCATTGGGTTGTTTGTGAAAATTAAATGAGATTGGTTCTTAGCCCAGCACCTGATGCCGAGAAAGCATGCAATAAATGGAAGCTGCTGGTGGTGGTGTTAATACATGTCCGCAGTACCTCATCCCAGATGTATTTCCGAATTCAGAATTTTCTTGACTTTAGGAAAGTGATAGAGTGCATATACTGTATTTTATGCAATACCCCCCCCCAGAGTATCCTGTAATCAAACACATTAGTATTTCTGCAAGCAAATGAATGGTCCAAATAAGTGGGATAAATAAAGACTATAAATAGCCCATTAGTTCAGGTCAGTAGCCACATATTGTGTTTGTACCGAAATGAAAAAAAATAGTGAACAAAAAAAAAATAGCAAACCTATAGTAGTAATTGTAACCAGAGGGAACCATTAGTCTTGCCCAATTGCTCCCAGCTTGATCTTGGGCCTATCTCAGGGGTCATTAGGATATAGGGTGAGGTGAGCAGAAACAGCCTCCTCTCTGCAAGGCCTCCATGAATGCTGCTCTCGCTCCCCCTACCCACTTTCCCTCCTTAGAGCCTGCAGGAGCCATCCCTAAAACTCAGGAGAGGGTCAGTGAGAAACCCGGCACAGAGAAGCCCTCCACCCATATACAACCATTGGATTCCCAGGAAGCCAACTCGGTAAGACCCCAGGGTGGTCTGCCAGGTCTACAGGAGAGCAGGTTGTGTGGATGGAGCCAGGGGGCTAGTATTTGGAGTCTGGGAAAAGGAGAACAAAGGACCAGATTCCCACTGAAGTTATTCTGCGTGGTAAGAGGACTAACCTTGCCTCTGATGGGCAAACAGTGAGAAATGAGATTAAGCTGCAGCAGGAGGGATTGAGGTTAGATTTTGTGTAGGATTCTGGTTCCTGGAATGGGTGATGGAAGCGGGCCAAGGATTTTTGTGATAAAGGGCATTTGGAACCCAAAGGGAGCTCCTCACCTGCCCAGGCTGGGTGAGCAGTGGCCCTGTCTTGAGGTGGAGGCATTGATGAAATAACCTCCTGAGTTTTGATTTTACAGTCCTCACTCCCCCTCAGAGACTGGACAAGGGGGTGGAGACTGACATCAGCCATCAGAACAACCTTCCCAGCAGTTAGATGCTTGATGAATGGGATAGTTGGGCAGAGCAGCAGGGGAGAGGTCAAGATGACCCTCCCAGACCCTCTGGCCTCTCACCTTCTCTTTCTGTCCCCTCCCCCCACAACAGGTCCGAGAGTGAAGGAGGCATCCTGGAATCAAGAGCACAGCTTGAGAAGGCATGGACACTGGATTTGTTTCCTATTTCTTCACTTTTGGGGAAAATCTCTTGTTTTTAAAATGTGATAAATTTGGTGTTAAGTCCTTGGCACTTTCCTTCTTTCCCTGATTTGGAGAATCCTATCTCCCTCCCCTGTTTTTACAGCTCTCTCTACAGCTCCCTACCCTCCTGCCTAGCTGCTTCTGGGAAGCAAGAAATAGGGGAGCATGGGGCAGGACGTTGAAGAGGGAGTTCTTTCCCTAAGCCTGCCTGTACTTGCTGCGGAGAGAGATGGGGGTCAGATAGGTGGGAGGACTTTCAGGGTGCCAAGAAGGCAGGTGGCCCCACGTTCTCGTTTATTTACTGAGGAAGAGATGACTATCTGGCAGGGCTGCTTGCAGCTGGAAGACTTGACGCTCTAAGGCCTGTGCCCTCTCCAGCTGACTGTGCTGTGGGTGCCGTCTGCTGGACAAAAGGGAGAACTGCACCCTGGCACTTGGTCCAAGGGAAGAAGGGGAGGTTGTGTTGTATGGATGCCTCTCTGCCTGTCTTCCAGAGCTGCAGCTGCCTTAGTTTTGGATTCCCAAGCTTCGGGATGTGTTCCGCCCTCCAGCTATGAGGAGACCACCTCCCCTTATCCCAACCCAAGAGCTCATTTTATTAGCGAAAATGGATTGAGAACAGAGTGGCCCTGGCTGGAACGGAAAGGGTCATTGCTCCACCTTGTCCTAGACACCAAGGGGCCAAGGTAAAAGACAAAAAAAACCATCAGAGGTAAAGAAACTTCCACAGACCCCACCGCCAGCCTCTCCTGGCCACTGCTTTTGATTCTTCCAAATGGTGGAGGGGAGAAGGTGGACACTTCTTAGGGGTAAAAGGCTGGGTTTAATGGAAGAGGAAAGGCAAGACTACTGAAGTGATGGGACAGAGGAAAAAGAGCCTCAGAAGTATAAGGTCCTTCTGCCGGGCACCTACTGCATGCCCTTGGGCAAGACCTTGTCCCTCTGGGCCTCAGTTTGTCCACCTATGTAATAGGGAGAATACCTCACCAGGTGTTATCAAGCTTAAAATAGAGCATGTACATGAAGGCACTGGGTGAACTTCCACCCAGTGAACACCACACACAGTCAGGCCGGGTCTCCCTTCTTTATTGATCTCTGGCTATAGCAGGGGTCTGGGAGACCAAGGGCAGGGGCGAGTCACATGCGTCTCTGCCCCACTTGGGGTGGGGTGGGAGGGAAAAGTGTCAGCGACCGTGGATATGGACATCACACAAACAGGGCCCACTGTACAAATGCATGGTTGGTATTTACAAGAAAGGAGGAGGGTAGTCACCTGGACTTTGGCCTTTCCTGGGGCAAGGTGGGGGAGGGGGTGAGGAGGAGCTTGAGAGGAAGGGGGAGTGGGCCTGGCTGGGCTCCATTCAGAGAACCCGACAGCAACAGCCCGGAGCCCCTCCCCCATCAGCCTTGCACCAGCCACACCCCATTTGTCCCAGGGGAGGGGCTTCTTGGTGCCTGCCGCTAGGCCAGTTCAGGGGGCTGAGGGAGAGGAGGGACCCTCTCTGTTAGCAACCCCGGATTACTGGATTATGCCTCACCCTCCCCACTGCACCCTTGATGCCAACCCAGCTGGTCTCCTGCCTGTGCTCATAAGATGCATCCTGAAGGTGCTTTGCTGGGGAGACCTCACAGCACTTTACAGACATTGGTCGGATGGGAGCCTCCCAGCGCCGGTGGGGCAAGGAAGGAGGCAAAGGGCTCAGGACTCAGCCAAGGCAGGTGACAAGTCCCAGGGACCCAGACCAGTCCCAAGCTCTTAAGGACCCCAGAGAAAGACTCCCCTCAGCCCCTGGTCCCAATGGCTCCTCTCTACCCCAGTCTCCATTTTTAGAATGGGGGAGAGGGAAGATTGCAGAGGGTTGGGCTGGGAATGGTGCTGAAGCAGTGCAGGTCTGGGGTAAAGAGGATGTCCCCCATTCCCAGGCCCTAGAAAGGTACCATGCCCTGAAGGAGCCCACTCCCCTCCCCACATGTAAGAGCTCTGAAAATCCCCAGCTTTCTGTCCTATTCCAGCCTCTCCCAGGGGAGGAGAAGGGGGACCCAGACCTGCCAGCTAAGATCTGGGGTGGGGGGCTGAGGGAACCCCCAAAATGTATTGCTTAGAAACTTGGAGGCAAAAAGGATGGGGGAGGGCCAGGGGGGCTGGCATCTCTGACCCTCCCCCCCAGGCCCTGGGAAACCTCTAGGAAGCTCCCACTCCCAGCCAGACAATTGACCCAGGGGGAGTCCAGAGGAAGGGGGATGGGCACAGTGACCACTGGGAGCCTGAAGTTCCCCAGTCTTGCTGCCGGGAGATTAAAGTGCGCCCCAATGGGTGTTGGGTGGGGAGGGGTCCTTCCCCCAATCCCACAATCTCTGGCATTTGGCCTTCAGGTGGGTTATCTGTTCCACGACCTTTGGGATCCCTTGGAGCAGATGGGGGAGCCAGTCCCGATGGATGGTGCTGATGACATCGAAGACTTTAGACTCAGTGAGGACCTGGGAAAGATGGAGACGCCTCTTTGCTTTTCTCTCCAGTCTGACCTACCTTCTCCAAGTCCTGCTGGATCCCCACTCAGTCCCACATACAGTTGTGTGAAATATGCCCTGCAGAAGGGTGCCCAGCCAGGGATGTGAGAGGGGCTGAAATCCAAGTCATGCTCAGCTGACCTCACTGGGCCTTCTGCCCTGGACAGGTTTCTTTTTCCTAACTCCCACCAACATGCTGTACGGGCTAGCTGTAGCCTTGCTCAGGCCCCATCCTATTCTGCTGTTGTTCTGAGGAGCTACTCCTTTCATCCTGCAGGGTCTGTGGGGCAGGAGAGGGTGGGAGGACTTCCCTACTTCCCACTCATGCCTAGGCTCAGCTCTATGTCTTCACTTCCTCCATTTTCCTGCCTGGAAAGGAGAGAGACCTCACATCCATTGGACCCCAGAAGCGACCCTTCAAGGAGGCCATGTTGGACTCAGCTCTCAAGACTCTCCCCAACCCCACCCTTCACCATGACATGCTCACCTGGGCCACCCCCGAGGCTAGTCCAGATTCCCATTCTGGTTGTGTTCATCTTCTGCAGGGGAGGATGGGGCCTCCTCCTCCTCACAGGGGGTCAGCTCATCAATGGACATCTGGTTGGTGATGCCTGCAAAGGGGCATGAAGGGAAGTGGGGCCAGACCAAGAAGTATTTTCCTCAGAACCCAAGAAGTATGTGGAGAAAAGGGATCCTCAACCATCTCCTTGCCTTCAAGCTGAGCTCCTCTCAACCTATCCCCACTTGAGAGCCTCTCCAGCCTTGCTAAAACTCACAACCCTGAACCTCTGGGTAAAGGAAGAGATTTTGCATTCAGGGCCACCAAGTTGCCTGAATCTAGAGGGACACCATTTACATAGACCACAATGTGCATGAGGTCCCTTGAGTTGTAGAATATGGCTGTCCCGATCCTCTCTCCAAGGAGTCCTGGTGGCACAATGGTTAAAGTCTCGGCTGCTAAGTGAAAGGCCCGCGGTTGGAACCCACTAGCCTCTCTGTGGGGGAAAGATGTGGCAGTCTGCTTCCATAAAGATTTACAGCCTTGGAAACCCTATGGGGCAGTTGTGCTCTGTCCTACAGGGTCACTATGAGTTGTAATTGACTTGACAGCAATGAGTTATCCTCTCTCCAACCCCCATTCTAGAACAGCCCAGGCCACTCAGCCAGTCTTTCCTGTGATCTGTCTTTAGTCTGATCAGCTCCATTCCCCACTCCAGGAATCAAACAAGGAGTTGCTCCAGAGGTTTAAGGAAAATAGACCTGCTACTACTCCATTAGTCCCCGCCCCTAAAGTCTCACCCCATCCCCAATGGTACCCACCACTTGCTGCCCGTTCCTTCCATTTCTGCTTGTTTTCCTGAATGTGTCTGGTCCAAGTAGAGCGGAAGCTGACCACATCAGGATTAGGCTCTCCCACTTCCACATCCAGAGAAGGCTGGCGCCACTGGAAGCTAGAATCAGGAACCCCCGACACCTCCAGAAGTGAGGCCCAGCCCACTCCAGAACCACCTTCATAGCCCTCAGACAGGAGGGGAGAGGATGGAAGACCAGGAGTAGGCTTACAGAGCCTAGTCATCGTCTTCTTTTCCCTCTACTAGGTGCACCCCAAGATCCTGTCCTTCTCCCCCCAATTTCTCCCCTCCCTCTCCACACCTTCCCTCCTAGTAAAAGGAAAATAAAAACAAAGTTAGCAGAAAGGCAGTAAAGACAGAGCTAAAGGAATAGACAAAAATGGAAGGATGTGTGGAGGGGAACACAGGTACAGGCCACACCCTTCTGGTCCCATCCTGTGTGACAAGTGGCAGAGGGGCTCCCAAGGTTGGAGTTGCCTGCTTCTCCACCACCCCTGTCATGGATGAACATCCTCCCTGTGAGTCATTTCTCTCTGTGAGCTCAACTTCCCACTCCTAGAACCAGGAGACCTGGCCACCCCAACCACCCTCACCTGGGCTGGTTTTTAGACTTGGAGTCCTCATCCGCCAGGGGCTGCACACTCTTCTCTGCCACATCAGTGAGCACAGAGAACGTGGGCTCCACAATGAAGTCAATGAAACCTGCAGTGAAGGAAGCCACAGCGGAGGTCTCCTACCCGCAGGGCTGAGCAGAGGTTACAGCCAGCATGGCCATGACCCTGGCTGCATGTAAAACAGGGTGGGGAGGTATAACCTGGGGCTGAAAATCTCCAAAGGGGACAGGCTTTAAGATGTCTTTGTGATCCCAGAGAACTCCCCTTCATCCCCCCAGCCTCTACCACAGGACCCCATGTTCTAGCACAGGAGGCTTGGCTCGACAGGAAGAATGGTTTTGGTGCGTGAGGACTTGGGGCAATCCTGGCCCAGGCCCAGACAGCACTCTTTTCCCTCCCTGCAGGAAAGGGTACTCACCAATCTGGGACTGTGCCACGAGAGTGGACGTGCGATCACAGAGTGGAGAAAAGGGCAGGCCCAGCTCTGCCTCCTTGTCACCCTGGGGGAGAAAGGACAGGGCAGGAAAGCTCCAGAGGATACCTCAGACCTACCAGATCTGCAGTGGGGTTGGGGTGATGAGGGGTTGTTGTGGGAGGAGAGGAATTTCTGTGCTTTTCTCCAGGAAATAAGTGATATACAAATGACATGCAAATTGGTCTTGGCAACTACTGCTAAGCTTTTAGGATAATGAGATTTTATCCAATGGTTTTGAGTCAGGTCTGAAGCTACAAGTGGCTGAAAGAAGGTGTAGGGGACTTGGAGAGAGAAAGGGGAGAGAGGCTTCCACGGGCAGGCAGAGATACCATGCTACCTGACGGAAGAATTCCTCCATAAGGGCCTTGGTCCAGCGGCTGTGGACTGACCACTGCTTGGTTGGGTGGCTGATGTCAGCAGCGTGGAGCAGTAGAGACAGGGCCTTGGGTTTGTCGATCCTGGTTGAGGCAGATGGCAAGGGAAGGGAGATTGATCTTTTAGGAAAAGGAAGCCTGAACCATTCTCTAACTTCCCACCACATGCCCTCTCAGATCCACACACAAACATCCTTTCACATACTTCAAGCACCCTCTCATACTATATACGCACATATAAATATACTTTAAATATATTTATATATACAGGAGACCGCACAGCTTAGTGGCAGAAAGCCCAGGCTTAGAATCAGAGGACCTGGATTCGAATCCCCCCTATACCTACTGCACACTAGCTGTGTGACACGGAGCAAGTTGCTTAAAATTTCCATATGTCATTTTCCTCAATCCTAAAATGGAAATAATAACAGAATCTACCACACAGAGTTATTCAGAGGATTAAATGACATAAATACATAAGTACTTAGAAGAGTGTCTGGCACATAGTAAGTGCTCAGTAGCTATTATCTAAAATTATTATTATTATCCCCCCAACAATGACACGCTCTGACACTGTACATGCTCCCACACATAAACACCATACATAGAGGTTGACACAAACCTTCAGGACACACACAGGCCATTCTCTCTTACATACATTTATATACTCCCACCCACTTTTAAGCGACATTATATGTAATTATAGCATTTGTTCTGTGCTTTCTTTTTAATCCACGTGACTCTCCCAATATCCCTATTAGAGTAGGAACTAGTGGCAAGCTGTTGTGGAGGAAGGCAGATTATTTTGGCCATTTCACAGATAAGGAAATGAGTCCAGAAAGGCTGAACTGATTTCCCAACATTCCAGAGTAAGTCTGTCCTGAAGCTGGGGCGAGAATCTCATCTCACACTCCCAGCCCAAAGCACTCTCCAGCAGACCAGCTGCCTGAGCTATATATAAACCCAGGACCACACCACACATGTTATCACACACACTTACACAGAGATGCACCCAGATACCTGGAGCCAAGAGAGTCTCTACATTCAGGTAAAGACCTGGCATACCAATTACCCAGTGTGTATTTCCCCAATTCATACACCCCTCACTCTGGCCTGGTTCCAGCCACACCCCATCAGGTGTCACCTCTCTAGTTGCTGCAAGGCTGTCTTCATGGACTTCACTTGCTGGAAGTGGCAGGACATGTCTGTGGCCAACACCATCTCGATGACCAGGGCACGCAGCTCTCTGAATGGACAGAACCAGAGAAGGGATCAGCCCCCTCAGCACGGCTGGACAGCACGTCCAGGAAGTGGGAAGAGAGGGTTGGGGTGTGGGAGTCTCTTAGGGATGCCAAGTCCCGGCTTCTGCTCACACAAACTCATCCCTGGTGAGGTTGATGAAAATGTTCAACTCGTCATCCTGCATCATTCGAAAAACAGAGCTGATGTGGTGATTCTCCAGCACTGAACGATCGTTGTACAGGATGGCGCATTCTGACCTGCAGAGTCAAAGGCTCTTGTGTCCAGCCTCTGGTAAAGGGGAACTCTGGAAATCTCTTCCACCTCCACTTGGCCCCTCCTGCCCCTGCCACGTCCCCACCCCTCACTTGGTCTGGATGTGGAAGCTGTTGGTAGTGCCTGTGTGCTCGTAGTCATGGATGGCTGCGGCAAAGATGATGGCCAAGACCTCGATCTCCGACAGGCAGTGCTAGGGGAAAAGGATGGGATAAGAGAGGGCTAACTCTCTGCCAGTCACTGCCCAAAGACCACACACAGGGAAGACCACCCAGCTCGTCCCTTCCATTCTTCAAGGCCAGCTCTTGGGCTAGTGCAGCCAGCTTTCTCCACTCCTGGAATGGCCATAGACCCTCCTCTATCCCAACCTGCAACATTCCCACTGCATCCCAGCATATGCCCCCAACACTACCCAGGAAGTTATGATCACTGGGGAATCCTCTAGCATTGAGTCAACCCAATTTGACTCTGTAAAGATTTTAGGATGCCAAAGGAGAAGAACCAAAGAGAAAAATGGAAATGGGAGTACAGTCCAGACTCCCCAGTTACGCAGCCATAAGACCCTGAATCACAACAGAGATCTCCAGGACACCTACCACCATCCCTGTGCGGAGCAAGAAGCAATGGACTGTCTGGGTAACGTCAGCTGCGTGGATCTGGTTGTGGTAAGGATTCTTGTATTTCCCATAGCCTGTCTCCAAGGCATCCAGGAAAGTCATCAGAAACACAGTGGGAATCTGCAGGAGGAGGGAGGAAATGGAGATAGATCCAAGATCTGCAGGAATGGCAGGAAGCTGAGGACTGAAATCAGCAATGCCATCTTCCTTTAGAAGGCAGCATGGCATAGAAAGAGAGCACAGGCCCTGCATGCTGGTGAACCTGGGCTCATATCCTGGCCCTACCACCTGCTGACTGTGTGACCTTGGGAAAGTCACATGCCTCCCTATGCTTCAGACACTTATTTGCAGGATGAGGATAATACCACCTACCTTGAATTTAATAAGTACAAGGCATTAGTAAGTGCTCTCCAAAGAGTAGCTATAATGATTATTATTTCCCTGGAGGTTTTTAATCAAAGGAAAGGAAGCTTCCCTCATACCTTCCAACCACCCCACCCCACCCTCAAATACAATACCATGGGAGAAGGACTTAGAAGCAGGGGAAAGGATAAGATGACCTGGAAGGGACCCTTCCAGCCAGATATGGAGCACCCCCTCCTCTAAGAAGCCTTCCCTGACCACCTTCCCTCCACATACACCATACACACCCACAAGCACCAGGGCCCAGAGCTCTGTCCAACTACTCTCAATTCTGTCCAGGGCTCTGCATATGCCCTTGGGCATGTCTGCCTCCTTCAAAAGGCTCAAGGCTGCCAGAGGGTAGGACTGATGTCTTCACCTGTCCCTGGATCTCGTGAAGCTAGGAGGGGACTGAGGTTCAGGACTTGAGGATGCTTCTGTAGAGAGGAGCAGTGGAGAACACAGAAGACACTCCACTCGTCTATCAGACCCTCACAACCCCCACCCCCACCCCTGGAGGGCTGTGCCCCAAATTCAGGGAATTTTAAAGGACTGTTTCCATAACAACTGCCCTTGCTTTTGTGTTGCCATGGCATCCCTAGAGGGAAGGGAAGGGGAGAAGCAGGGGAGGGGCTAGATGCCCAGGAAGAAAATGTGGAGCTTGAGGAGGTCTCTACCACCAGAGAAAACTAAACCAATAAGCATTCCCTCTTTCTCTAAGTGCGTTGGAGCAAGGCAGACAGGCTGGGCCATCCCCAAGCCCATGCAGCTACTTTTGGGGTACCCAAAACCCAGTTGTTACAGGCAAGGACGCAGAGTTTAGAAGAAGCTGGTGTCTGGAATATATCTGATAACCAGTTTGAAGAAATATGATATGGGAAAAGTCTTAAGAAAAAGAGGATCCTGCTATTCTCTGTCCTGGAGAGGGCAGCATCAGTGGGAAGATAATGAAACTGCCGAAGGACAGGCCTGAGGAAGGCACTGAAGAAAATCCCAACTGAGCATCTCAGGAAGTTTTGAAAATGTTCTTGGGAGTGATGGAAAACAGAGGCGTCAAGGGTCCAGGGAAGGCTCACACGCACAATACAGTCTGTTATAGTCAAGTGGAGGCAGAAGGATGGATGAAATGACCTTCCAAAGCCCATCTGGGAGGGGACCCTACAACTGACCTCTTGACTACCCCCTCTACAGCACCCTCAGAATACACAGGTATTCCTTCACCACAAACATCTACTGCCCGCTCCCGCCTGAGTGCTGACCAAATATCCCTACTGTGACTTTTCTACCTCCCCCACCCTCCCCTTCCAAATGTGGTTTTTCCATGTAGAAGTGCTTTTTTCCCACCCCTATACCCAAAAAGTCGCTTCCTCCTAGCACAGGATCTGGAGGAAAATTTAATCCCATATTTTTCTTCCTGGCCAGGCAAACTACAGAGCAAATGGAGTTCACACACCCTCATACAGCCCCACCCTAGCCCTGCCGAGAATGGATCCTCTGTATGACATTCCTTGGACAGAGACCAGAGCTGTGGTGGCTTGGAGGGAGTGGCCAATTTTGTTTTTTCCCCTTAAAAGAGTCTTCTGAGGAAACAAATTGAGAGACTCTAGTCCCAAAGGTCACCAGCTGACAGCATTTGGGCTCCAGGCCTCCATCTCCACAGGCAGGAGGCAGGACAGCTGAAAAGGAGAGGTGAGCTGGGTACCATCCTGGAAAGGACAAGTGAGGGGAAGAAAAGCAGAGGGGGCGAAAGTAGAATCCCAGGCTAGATGGCTTCAGATCCAGAATCTCCCCCTAGAAAGCAGTAAATAAATTCAGAGGCTGGGACAGCAGCAAGAGAAAGGCAGGCCAGACTTTAGGGGGTACATCCCTGATAGGGATTGAGTGAGGGAGCCTGTGGAATCTACTTGGTTGAGAATCTTTTAAAAGTGGAGTTAATAAGAGTGGAGAATCCTGCCTGGAGACATAGGTAGGATGATGCCTAACCTTGAAGCGGCTGATGAGGCTATGCCGAGTCAGCAGCTCAAAAACAATGGTCCTCAGGGCGTGGTCATCTGCTGCCCGGTTCAAGGAAAAGACGTCAAAGCACCAGAGGTCCAGGTTCTGTGGAGAAACAATGGACTAGGCAGGGAGGCTCTTGAGAGGAGCTTCTCAGCTGCAGGAAGCATTCAAATTAGACTTCAGGGAGAACTTCCCAATGAGTTCAGAGACTTAGAAAATAGGAAAACAAAGAGGTGGTAAAATAAGCCTCTTTTTTCCCAGATCTCTCTCATGAGAGAGACAAGAACATAGGGGTTTGCCTCTGGAGCAGGCAAAAGTTGTTTGAGGAACATGGGAATGGCAGCTAAAAAGGGAAGGGAAAAATCATGTTATAAACAGAGTCTGGAAGACCCAATGGCTATTTCATCCCCCAACCTTCTCCTCTTTCCCGAAAACCAGGGGTCACCTTGAGACAGTGGAGGACCGCCGTGGAATAGGTGGGGCCCACAGACGTGTATGTTCTCCGGAACATCCTAAGGAAGGATAAGGAAAAGAGGTCCAAGTGTGAAGATCTGGGGAGTGAGGGTCCAGGAGGGAGTGTAGGGATGTGCCATGGGCGCGTGGAATCATACAGCTGGTGAAGCCCTGAAGACCAGGGTAGCTGGGAAAGAGGGGCACAACTGAGGCAGAGAGAGCTGAGTGTGGGTGAGCCTCACCGTTCTACGAAGATCCCAGCCTGCACAGCATGCACGATGCTTCGGAACTTGGGCTTCTCCTCTGCTCGGCGGCCTTTGGCCCGGGCTTGCTGGGTGAAGGTGGAGGCCAGCCAGTCCCGCACCTCTGAAGGCACAGCATCTGACCGCAGCTCCTGCAGCTCATCCTCCGTATCCAAGATTTGCCTGACACCCCAGAAGTGGAGTCACAGAGGAGAGATAGCAGGTGCTTCTACAGCCTGCGGACGTTAGACCCAGCCACACCCCACACCTTAGTAACTCTCATGCCAACTCTCTCCTGTCTCTCACTCCCCCTTCTCCTTTCTCTCGCTTTATCTGTTTATTTCTGCCTCTCTATCTAATGGGTCCAATAAGGACACAGGTCAGTATGTGAGGTAGTGAGCATCCCAACCCTTGAAGTGTTCAAGCAGGCAATGTGATATATCACGTGTCAAGGAGTCTATAGAGCAGCATTGTCCAATAGAAGTAAAATGCAAGCCAGGTAAATAATTTTAAATTTTCTTATAGCCACATTAAAAAGGTAAAAACAAGTGAAATTAATTTTCATAATAAATCTTATTTAACCTAATACATGCAAAATATTATCATTTCAACATGGACTCAATACAAAATATGTTAAAGAGATAACTTACATTCTTTTTTTTTTTTTTTCCAAAGGCTTCAAAATCTAGTGTGTATTTTACATACACATCTCAGTTTGGCTAGCCACATTTCAAGTGATTAATAGCCGCGTGTGATTAGTGGCTCCCCCTATTGGGCAGGGCCGCTCTGGGGGGATTCCTGCACTGGGGAGAAGGTAGGGACTAGGTGAGCATTAAGGTTCCTTCCAACTCTGAAACAGGTTTCTCTACTTCCTGATATCTGTGTGTCTCTATCTTTGCATCTTTCTGTCTGTCCCTCTGCTTCTTTATCTCTGCCAACATTTCTAGCTATATAGCTCCTTATAGCTGCTCCTCCCACTCCCTTTCTTCCTGCCTTTGTGCCTGTCATGTATCCCTATCTCCAGCTTTCTGTCTTACTCCCCGTCTCTGGATCACTGTGTCTGATATCTTCCCCCATCTCTGTCTGCAGGACTCTCCTGGTGGCCCCGTGTCACCACTCTCACCGTGTCTCGTCTATATAGACAGCCTCCAGCAGAGAAGCTGTGTACTCCAGGTTTTTCTTCAGCTCCTCGATGTTTACCTCCCCATTCTCCAACTGCTTCACCATGTAGCGCAGCCTGTGGGGAGTGGGCACAGATCTCCTGCTTAGGCACCGCTCCCTTGTCATGAGACCAGAAGACCCTCTAATAGGGTGCATGTTACTGAGACAGCCTGTCTTCCATAAATAATTACTCATTCTAACATTAACGATAATAGCAGCTAATGTGTCTGATCTCAGGTTATTGTCAGTGCCTGTACTAAGTTTACCTACCCTGACGCTACCATCCTTCCCCACCATCTGATCTCTCAACACCTTGCCTTTAGTCAGCGTTTCCTGCAAACTCTTGTTTAAACTACACGGGTCCAGCAGAATTGGGCAGGCACAAGCCCAGGGGTGATGTTTTGGGGATGATCTGTTTCGTTGTCTGAAATAACCACAAGCTAAAACTGCTTATTTCCCTCATGAGTAAGGGTATTGGGATCAACAGCAACCAAAATAGCACCCAAGGTTATTTCTCTTGGTCACGGTGGGGAGCGGGCTACATGTCTACAGTCCCTCTGCCCCTGGTAGGGACAGCAAAGACAGAACAAAGACCAATCTGAATGCTTTCGAACAGCCTCTCTCGATCCAGGCAGAGCTAATGGATTATGACTCCAGAATCCATCAGCCAGGACAACGCAGGATTAACCCCTGCCTCTCCAGTCCTGCGCCAGAGAGGACCTCTGGCAAAGGGTTACAGTACCTGTCCCCTGCCTCTGCCCCAGCCACAGCTTCCCCCAGAGCAAAAGTAGTAGGGGTAGAGCCAGGGAGAGGGAAATGATCTCATTTACTGGATGCTTTGCCTGAAGGGACAAGCCCCTCATAATTTGAACTTGTCAACTCTAGGGATCAGTGATTAACTGGGAGGCTTCTTAGAAGTCTAGCCAGTCCAACCCAGGCAGTCACAAAGCAAGCAACACTCTCTGACATTAAATAGTGATTTTTTTTAAGCCAGTAAGCATTTCCCACTCTCGCTCCTCCTCCCAGCCCCACCCCACCTCTAAAACCAAGAGGGGGGTGAAATGGTGGCCGTCACAATTCCCCACTGAGAGGGGCTTCAGAAACCCAAGGTCACCCTATGAGTCAGGGAGGAGAAGAGAATGAGTCAGGGACCAGAGGCTGAAATTAGCATCAATTCCCAGGGAAGACGGGGGAGAACAATGGCATTCCTGAACAGAAGCAGCTCTAGAATCCTGGGGTCTCAGCAGCTCTGGAATAGAGGGTACCCAAAATAGCCAGCCCCAGGGAGCGTCACAGGTCAACCCTCACCTTGGAGCCCAGCAGTCCTGGCCAACATGCCTAAGTGCAAATGAGGGAGAAGGGAAAGGGGAAAAAATGGGCTCCTTGGTGGGTTACCTTCAAATCTCACTTCCAGCCTTCCTGCTGCACTGTCTCCATGTGGCAACAGTGGGTTGTTTAACAAGAAAGAGGATGATGTAAATTTGAAGGTTTTAGTAAAGCTCAGCCCCAGCTCAGGCTTCATTAAGGAGGAGGAATGGAAGCTAGACAACATAAATGAGTTTCCTAGCCAAATGAGCTAAGAAGGGGGGTACAGAGTTGGTCTCTCTCTGCATACTCTCCTAGAGATCACAGAACAGACAGGTACGCTCTGCCTTCAGGGCCAGACGCAAGCATGGACTCCCCTTCCTGGTTATTTCCCTCAAGAGGGGTCCTCAAATATGGGGACACACAATTCAGGAAGAAAGAAGGCCTCTTCTACTGCCTGTGGTCCATCACTTCCCCCACATTCCCATGCCAGCCCTAATCTTCCACTTCATTCAGCCCCTAGAGGTCAATGCCCACCACCAAAGTTCCTCCAGTTTTATTCTCATCCGACCACTTGAAACACACAACCCAAAGTGCACAGGATCCTAAAGTGAACAGCCCAGCCCACGGGTGCTCATCTGCATGTATTTGCATAATCACTAACAAAGCTGCCAGTTCTACATTTTAAAAAGCTCCTTCTCCTACATTTTATCCTCACAATGGGCCCATGAAGGAGAGAGGCAGAAGGAATTTCCATCCCTGTTTCCAACGTAGGAACCAAGGCTCAGGAGCATCTGTAGCACCATGTACTGAGCACTGGTCTAGGAGGCAGGAATCCTGGGTTCAAACTTACCACTTTCTGGCTATGAGCCCTTGTGCAAGTCACTCACTTAATCACTGTTTATCAAAATGTGGCCAGTAGACCATCAGCATCGGAATCACGTGGGATACTTGTTAAAGAGAGAGAGTCTAACCCCTACCCCACACCTTCTGAACCAGAATCCCTGAGGGTACCAGGGATCTGCATTTTTAACAAGGCCCTCAGATTATTTTCATACACATTAAAGTTTGAGAACCACTATTTTAGAACTTCATTCTCTTCATCTGTAAAATACACAGGTGATTACATATCAGCCTGACAGGGTTGTTAATAAGAGGATTAAATGCAATAATGTAAGCAAAAGTACCTGGCACATACAAAGGGTCCCCATAAATGTGATTTGCATCAGAATGAAATGACCAGCATGATGCTCGGGCCCCCAAGCCCATACCACTCGCCCTTCAAATCCAACAGGCACCTGCCTTCTCTATCCCAAGTCTCAGTAAAGAAAAGTGAGTTAGGTAAGATGCCAGTTACCACTGAGTCAATTCTGACTCATGGCGACCACACGTGTGTCAGGTTAGAATTGTCCTCCATAGGGTTTTCGATGGTTGTTTTTTGGGAAGTAGATCACCAGGCCTTTCTTCTGAGGTGCCTCCAGGTGGACTCGGACTTCCAACCTTTTGATTAGAAGCTGAACACATTAACCCATTAACTGTTTGCACCACTCAGGGACTCCCTAGTTTAAATTAAAAAAACTCATTGCCATCGAGTTGATTCCAACTCATAGTGACTCTATAGGACAGAGTAGAACTTCCCCACAGGGTTTCCAGGGCTATAACCTTTACGGAAGCAGACTGCCACATCTTCCTCCTGTGAAGGGACTGGAGGGTTCAAGCTGCCAACCTTTCAGTTAGCAGCCGAGCACTTAGCCACTGTGCCACCAGCACTCCTTCTAGGTTAGATACAGGCTAGTAATTAGGAAGCCACCTAATAGAGGAATGGGAGAATGATAATGGTCATGCTTTTTCCTATTTGGGTAGCCCTTTACTCATTTGAGCCTTGAAATCACCTTATAAAGGAGGTTAGCTGACTTACCTAATGTCAGTGGCAGTCAGGTTAGCAAGGCCCACAGCTCATGCTCATGGAGCCTAACTGTGCCCCTCAAGCATGGACTATGTTGGGGCAGAACAAGCCCAATCATGTAGTCAGCTCAGCGAGGCTGGAACCCTACACCACAGCTTCTTCAATCTCAATCCATCCTTAATTAAATGTTTATATGTCTATCAGCTCATAGTAGACTGTGAGTGTCTTGATAGCACTGACAATGACTTGTTTATCTTGCCTCCTTACAGCCTAGCCACAGTAAGTGCTCAGTAAATATTCATTAAATAAGTAAAAGGGAAAGGAGGCAGTTTAATCAGGTACGAGGCCATCTCCCAATTGCGATTTCTGAGCCAGGGTTTCTGAAGCTCTAATGGTGAGCCTGAGGAGGACAGTGAGATCATAGTTTGACTTTAACACACCCTTCTTCCAAGTTTCTCCTCTTCCCCTCACCTCTAGATCTTGTGCAGGAGCTCCTGTATAGCTCCCATTGAAATCTTAACACAACATGATCCAGATACCAGAAGGATGGGGGTAAGGAGGGAAAGAAAGATTAAAGAACAAATTTGACAAACCAGGAGTCCAAGAAGGGGACAGGACTCAGGCAGCTGGAAAGATCCAGGTGCTCAACTTACCCTCCTGAAGTCTTATAACCCCCTGTCATGGATTGAATTGTGTCCCCCAAAAATACGTGTCAACTTGGTTAGGCTGTGATTCCCAGTATTGTGTGGTTGTCCTCCATCTTGTGATTGATAGAATTTTCCTATTAAATCCTAATCTCTGCCTGTGGTTAATGAGGCAAGATCATATCATGCTGAAGAGGATTAGGGTGGGATGTAACACCCTTGCTCAGTTCACATCCCTGATTCAATGTGAAGGGAGTTTCCCTGGGGTGTGGCCTGCACCACCTTTTATCTTACAAGAGATAAAAGGAAAGGGAAGGGACCAGAGAGTTGGGGACCTCATACCACCAAGAAGCAGCACCAGGAGCAGAGTGCATCCTTTGGACCTGGGGTCTCCGTGCCTGAGGAGCTCCTCGACCAGGGGAAGATTAATGACAAGGACCTTCCTCCAGAGCTGACAGAGAGAGAAAGCCATTCCCAGGAGCTGACACCCTGAATTTGGACTTGTAACCTACTAGACTGTGAGAGAATAAATTTCTCTTAGTTAAAGCCATCCACTTGTGGTATTTCTGCTATAGCAGCACTAGATGACTAAGATACCTTACTTTTCAGACTGACAGGGGTCTGTCTTATTCTAAAGTCCTGCTAGAGTTAGGATCTCCCCAGACACACCTTATCTCACCATTTTTCTGCAGGAAGTCCTTCTTTCCCATCCACATCAGTTTTAATTCAACCCCTCTGGTTCAACTGTCAGAGCCGTCAGAATAGCCGACTCTTCTGGCACCAGAATAGTAATTTTCCCTGTTGAACAGGATGCTCAACCCTGTCCAGTCCTCAGCCAGACCAAAGGAAAACTGGAAGCTTCCTCCAACATTCCTTCCACCTCCACCCCAACCCCTGTTTCACCACCACTTCTCCTTTAAGCTTCAGTCCCACACCACAGGAAAAGCCTCAGATCCTGACCCCTGGAAAGCCTCACTCTCTCCTAGCTCTAGGCAACCAGCTAAAGAGAAGGCTCCTGGTGGTAATAATTCCAACACCCCAGAAGAGTTCGGCTTCCTCTTTCCCATCCCCCAACCCCTTTCTCTGGATCACCACATAGCTGATGTTCTAGAGATTTCCAAAGCCCCATGCCATAGCTTCTAGCACTCACACTCCCGAAAAGGTCCCCATAAGTAGAGAGTTTAGGACATGGCAGCTTTAAGCCAGAGGGTTGGGAGTCAG